GGAAGATCGGTGCAGGAGGAATTGGCATCTGGACAGGCAACTGGGGCTGATAGAAAGGCGTGAACTGTGGAAGTTTGTCTTGACTAGGAGCAATACCCCTTTGACTCTACGGTAATTGCTGGGTCTGTTGGCTCACTGTTGGCCTCTGATAGGACAGTTCTTCTTGATATGCCCTAGCTCCCCACAATGGTGGCACTTGAAGCTATAGGGTCCACTCTTCCCCCATCCCGAAGAGCCACTGCTACCACTAGGCACTCCCCCACTACCTTGCCCTTGATCACGACCTTTTCTGTTATTCCTTTGAGGTCCTCCTGAAGTTTTTCCTGAAGTTGCTCGATCTTGGAGGAAGGCGATGTGCTCTTGTTCAACAGAGATGGCTGCTGCAACCAGGTCACTGTAGACTCGATGCCTTAAAGCTACCACTGATTTCCGGATCACACCCTTAAGACCTTTCTCGAACTTTAAGCACTTCATGCGCTCCGGTTCAATCAAGGAAGGAGCAAAACGGGACAGTCCATTGAACTTAGCTTCATATTCTCGCACTGTCATGTCTCCCTGCTGTAGGCCCATGAACTCCATGGCCTTTTCATCTCGATAACTTGGAGGAAAGAATTGCTCATTAAAGAGCGCTTCGAATTGTTCCCAAGTCATCCCCTCTACATCTTGCATTCGCCGGATATGCTTCCACCATGCACCTGCAAGACCTTCAAACTTAAAAGCTGCGAACTCCACCCAATACTCATCCGGCACTCCCATGGTACTTAGATGCTTAGACACCGATTCGAACCAATTTAGATTCCTAATCTAGGATTTTCATAATTTGGTAGATTCAGGCTTTTGACTTTAGGAATAGTTTCCATTAATTAGATTACATTTCATAATTTACTCAATAAAATTTAATAATTGATTTTGAGAATAATTGTGTGGTTACGTGGAAAGTATAATCTGAGGGAGTTCTGTGTAGGAAAGTTGGTACTTAAGTGGGCCTCGCCCCACCAATCTTTCCTGGGAACGTTGCTCTGTCTAGGAGACTATTCATTGAGCCAAGAGCTATAGTCTTTCCTGGGAGCACTCTCGGTGGTTACAATTTACGTTACTATATAATTATTTTCTTTTTGATTAAAAATAAAAAAAAAACAAAAAAAAAATTAAAAATTAAAAATTAAAAAAAATTAAAAAAAGGCTGCTTAGGGTGAATGCATCGATATAGAGACGAACTAGGAAGATTTGCTCAACGTCCAGATTTAGAAACCCTTAGTGAAATTCTATCTGACCCATCTTCTATGTCTCCGTCTTCGCACTCGTCGTTGGAATTTGCATTTCAAAATCTATTCGTAATGGCACAATACGAGGAAGTTCAGCAGAGGACGTTGCAAGATTACTTACACCCAACGCGCACGGCCACCACATCTTGCATCATGTTCCCACCAAATGCACCGCCTACGGATTTTAAGCCGGACATGATTGCACTTCTCCCAACCTTTCACGGGTTAGAGAACGAGAACCCCTATGTCCACATCCGGGAGTTTGAAGAGGTGGTGGCCACCTTTCACAGCCATGCTGAGGCCACAAACACTGTCAAATTGAAGTTTTTCCCTTTCTCTCTGAAGGACAAGGCCAAAAGCTGGCTGTATTCCTTTAGGCCCAGGTCTATTGGTACGTGGGAAGAAATGACGATGACATTCTTCAACAAGTATTTCCCACACCATAAGACTACTAATTTAAAACGACAGATCTCGAATTTCGCTCAAAAGGAAAATGAAACTCTCTATCAAGCTTGGGAGCGTTTTAAGGATCTGTTAAATCTGTGTCCCCACCATGGATATGAAAGTTGGCGCCTCGTAAGCTATTTCTATGATGAACTCACAATCTGAGAGCGCCAATTTGTTGAGATGATGTGCAATGGAGATTTTCTCCAGAAGGATCCTGACGAAGCTATCGAGTACCTGAATGAGTTAGCTGAGAAAGCTCATACTTGGACTGGGCCAAGTGCTACTAAGATCACCAGTAGGTCCTGACCAGTTGGAGTTTATCAATTAAGGGAAGAGGACAGCCTCAAGGCCCAAGTTGAAGCTTTGACGAAGCAAATTAAGGCCCTCAAAAGTAAAGATAGTAAAGGACCCTACATGGTGGCAAGGACAGAGGCACATGAGCCTTGTTTAGTTTGTGGTGGAATGGGCCATCTAACTCAGGATTGCCACACTTTAAGTGAAATGAGAGGGGTATATGAGGAGCAGTGCAATGCATTGGACACATACAGGAAGCCTTACGGACCTTTCTCAAAATCTTACAATCCTGGTTGGAAAAACCACCCGAATTTCAGTTGGCGAGATTCGAACCAACATGCACAATCATCTGGAGGGTAATGGAGATCAGAGCAATAATCTCAACCACCAAGGACATATTCCGCGCCTCAGAATAACATGCAGCCGAAAGGGAATTATCTAGAGGATACCCTAAAAGCTATTATGGACGCGCAAAATAAGACGAATCAAAGGGTTGATTCAATGCTTACGCAGCTGGTGGAAGAGAACAAGGAAATCAAAAGTCAGATCACAAAGCTGACAGAAGCTTTAACTGTTCAGGAGCGCGGTAGATTTCCATCACAAGCCTAGTCCAGTTTGAGAGGACAACACATGGCTCAAACTTCCAACTCTGAAGGTCAAAATATCAAGGAAGTTAACGCCATCTCTACTCGAAGTGCTAAGAATTTAGACACACCATCGACAAGTAAAACCACTTCGAGTAATGAAGAATCGGCTCAGGAGAAAGAAGAGCCAACTAAAATTCCGGTGAAGGTGCCTTTTCCCCAAGCTCTCCGACCTGCTGGGAATGTGCCGGAAAATCAAAGTGAGATCCTGGAGCACTTGACACAATTGAAAATTAATCTTCCCTTACTACACGTGATCAAGCAAGTGCCGGCCTACGCCAAGGTTATCAAGGATCTGTGCACCATAAAGAGAAAGCACCACGTCAAGAAGACTGCATTCTTGACGGAACAAGTAAGTGTGGTGATTGAGCAGAAAACACCGCCGAAGTATAAGGATCCAGGTTGTCCTACCATTTCTTGCCAGATCGGGACACATGAATTCGGCCAAGCGTTACTAGACCTAGGATCGAGCGTGAACCTCATGCCTTATTCGGTCTACTCGCAATTGGGTCTTGGAGAGATTAAGTCCACATCTGTGGTTTTGCAACTGGCCGATAGATCCATTAAGAGACCACGGGGAATAGTGGAAGATGTTTTGTTGCAAGTCGACAAGTTTTATTACCCTGTGGACTTTCTTATCTTGGATACACAATCCGTGGTGGATATGGAGTCATCCATTCCCATCATTCTGGGAAGACCTTTTCTTGCCACAGCAAACGCACTTATCAATTGTAGGAATGGTCTCATGAAGATATCTTTCGGGAATATGACCCTTGAGGTGAATATTTTTCATATTCAAAAGCAACCACGTGATGACGACGAGTGTCACCAAACATTTATGATCGACACACTTGTCGAGGAGGAGGTTCTGCCGTAAAGCAACTCTGAAGATCTTGAAAACCTCCTCCAAAATTCTGAATCTGAGAGTTTCGATCCTTGTGAGGTGGCTACCATTGCTGCCATTTTCAAAGAATCACAGGACAAAGGAACTAAGTTTGGGTCACCATGTTTTCAGGAGCTCCCAACAGAAGGAGAAAAATTGAAATCATCCACTGAGGAGGCTCCAAAAGTCAAGCTAGCCCAACCACCTGAGGGTTTAAAACATGCATTCTTGGGAGATGAAGACACATTCCCAGCCATCATCTCATCTAAACTCGATCCATTGCAAGAACAACAATTGATCGACATGTTGAAAGAGCGCAATTTTAGGATCAAGGTAAAAATGAAAGCGGCTCATGATAAGCAGATCCTAAGGAAGAATTTCGAGCCGAATCAACGGGTTCATCTCTATGATTCCCGTTTGCATCTCCACCCCGGTAAGTTGAGGTCGCAGTGGACTGGCATGTTCGTAGTAAAATGCATTTTTCCCAATGGTGCTGTCGAGGTTAAGGACCCGACCGATGGGAGAATATTCAAAGTAAATGACCAGCGTCTGAAAAATTACTTAGAGTGGGTGAACCAGGTTGAAGAGATCATTCTCGACGACCCCGTTTACCAGCCCTGAGTAGTTTGCTCACATCTTCTGTACCATATTTTGATTTTCTGTTTTTCTTTGCTTCTTTTTACAATTTTTTTTATGTGTGTTTTTGGAGAATCATATCAGGAAGCTCAGGCTATGCTCATAAGTGGAAAGCTCATCGTCCATGTGTCTTCTTTCTCTATTTTTCATAAATTTTGAAACTGAGGACTCTGTCTGATTTTGGTTAGGGGTGGTGAGCATATTCATGCGTAAGAGTGATTTTTGTCACGTTGATATTTGAGTTAAAATTTTTGCAAAGTTGTTTGAGTATGATTCAAAATGATTGGTTTGGGTCAATTTTTGCTGTCTTGGTTACAAAGAAATGACTTCCAGAGTTTCTTTTTGCACGTGCTAAACCTTGTGGTAAGATGGATGTTAATGCATGTCAACTGAGAAAATTTTCGAGTTTAAGTGCTTGATTTTTGGTGAGTAGAGTAAACGACTTTTGAACTTTCATTGATCTTTTGAGCTGGTAAAATCACTATTAGAACATCATTACATGGTTAGTGGTATGCTTTGTGCATATGCTTGAGGGATGGATTTTAGATTAGATAGGAATGATCTTATGTAATAGAGCCTCATTTCTTATTTTTCTATATAAAAAAACTGAGCAAGAGCAACATTTCACAGATTTGTAGTTTGGTGTTAATCACATTCGATGCTATATAGCTGTTTGTTAAAAGAACACCTTTCTACATTCACTTCAGGTTGTCTTTTGCCAAAAAAAAAAAAACAGAAGAAGTAATTTATTTTCCTATGCATTTTGTTTGGCTCCTTGATCGTTTCTGTAAATTTCTGTTTGACCCGAATGAAATCCCAAAAGCTGGTTTGTGGTAAGAATGGTGGAATGTTCTAAGAGTTGATTAACCTATCTTTTGGTCAATGTTTGTTTGACTGTTTGTCCTAAATTTGACCTTCCTCATACTGAGTGTTGATTGTTTCATTTCCAACTCCATGAGAGAAAACCTTTTCACTCAAATATTTATGACACCTGTGAGATCAATGGAGTTGAGGCTTCTACTTGGTGAATTTTTCAAAGCTGCATGTGTTATGGTCAGTGGTAAGAAGGTTATGGTTTGGATCACACACACACGACTCTGGAGTTATGACTGAAATAATCTTGATAGTATCTTTTGACTTCTTCCTGACAGTTTGTTTGAAATACTCAGGTGACTAACAGAACAAGAGCGTTAGAGAAAAATGAATTAAAGAAAAAGAATAGTTTTTGAGATTTTGTTGCAAATAAAATAGAAAGGATGGAATTTGTATGAAGAAAATTCAATAATAAAAACGGTAAGGTGTCGAGAATCCCTAATGTTTCGTTCACCAATCCAAGTTTTGATTCACAATATTAAATAACCGAATAAATTAAATCTGTATGTTGACTCCAGAATATTATTATTACAAGTTATCTAAAATCGACAATATATCAATCTGACAATATTGCAGTAAAAGACAATTTGTAAAATAATTTGAATAACAAAACATTGCATGACAGAATTACATAAGAAAAGCGTGACTAAACTTATATAAAAATTGACACACAATATTTTGAAAAGTAATAGAAATGAAATACTCAGGTGACTAACAGAACAAGAGCGTTAGAGAAAAATGAATTAAAGAAAAAGAATAGTTTTTGAGATTTTGTTGCAAATAAAATAGAAAGGATGGAATTTGTATGAAGAAAATTCAATAATAAAAACGGTAAGGTGTCGAGAATCCCTAATGTTTCGTTCACCAATCCAAGTTTTGATTCACAATATTAAATTACTGAATAAATTAAATCTGTATGTTGACTCCAGAATATTATTATTACAAGTTATCTAAAATCGACAATATATCAATCTGACAATATTGCAGTAAAAGACAATTTGTAAAATAATTTGAATAACAAAACATTGCATGACAGAATTACATAAGAAAAGCGTGACTGAACTTATATAAAAATTGGCACACAATATTTTAAAAATAGAAAAATAGATGAGATTTAATTTATTCGGATGTTGAACTTTATAGCATAAGGAATCAAAACCCCGAATTGGGTCACTCAACAGAAGTTCATCTTTAACCTTACCAAGAAAACTCTAGCATATCTTGCAAAACATTCTCACAAGTTCTAGAGAGAAAATATGAGACTGACAGCAAGACGACAGAAAACTGAATATTAAAAGTTTTTTTCAAACCTTAGGCCAACCCCTCTATTTATAGTGTTCAGAGGTTGCCGTCAAATAAGGAAACAAACAATAAAAATAGAAAATTACAAAAGAAAAGGAAACAAAATAAAATTACACATAAATTAAGAGAAATCATATATTTGATTTGAGGAAGAAATATGATATTTTACTCTGATTTTTGGGGAAGAAATTCGGATTCATCTCAAAGGGACCACGTGTCGAAGCTTGATTGGAGGAAAAGAATAAGGTCGCCATGTGTCGCGCGCGGAGTGGAAGAAGGGAGCTGGCGGTTGGAGACAGCTGGGACCCGCTCGGACAGCTGGCACCCGCTCGGACAGCTGGCACACGCAGAGGGAAGGAGCAGGCTGGCATCGCAGGTGTGGGACCCACGCGGAGTTCGGGTTGGAACGCGCTGGAGATCTCGCGTGCACGGGACGCGCGCTGTGAAGTGGGGCGTGCTGGAAACGCGCGAGGCATGAGACGGAGCGAGAGGAAAGGCGCGGATTTCTGCGCTGACACGCGGGACCCACTTCATTTGGCTTGGTTGATGGGTGGCGTGGCTCTCTCTGATTGGCTCGGTTTGTGTGGCTCGGATAGGCTGAAAATATGGCTTTCATGGCTTCTTCTTGTGTAGCTTTTTACACTGCTTTCATCTATAAATAATTAAGCAAAAACTAGACAAATTCTAATTAAAATATTATGAATAAAAATAATGAAATTGCTTAATTAAAGCTTAAATATTTTAATATTATATAAATCAAAAGTAGTATTTATGGTGTATTTTCATGCACCAATCACAGATCATTATCCAACACTGTCTATAATAGTACGTGACATTCTTACAACTCCAATGTCAACGCTAGCATCGGAGCAAGTATTTAGTGCAAACAACTGAATTCTTGACGAGAAAAGGAGCAGAATGTATCAGGATATCTTGGAGGGGCTAATGTACGTGAAAGATTGAGAAGATGCCAGAAGATGAAAACAACACTATATAGATGATACAATTCAAGAATATTTTTTGAACTTAGACATAACAGAATCTTCTGGAAGCAATTCTTTCATAGTGTAATTTACTTATCCTATAATACCGCACTCTTTTTTCTTCGCTAAGGTTTTGTCCCGATCTCCCCACAGGTTTTACTTGACAAGGTTTTTAATGAGGCAGTCATTTATGTGTACTTATTCGTATTATTTCAATTCAATAAAATCACATCTTTTAGGGACATCTGATATATTTTCTTCTTTTTAATTAAATATTACAAAAAAAATTAAAAGGGTTGGCCCGTGAACGGCCTGGGCCCGGGCCTAGCCCTGGCCCTTGTGGACAAGGGCCTGGGCTAGGGCTGGGCATGAGGGTCTTCCCTCAGGCCCGGCCTTGAACTGTTCAAGGCCGTGCTTGGCCTGGCCTAGGCCCGTGGCAGGCCTGGTGTGTGACCTGTCATGCTGGCCAGACACGACACGTTTGATACCTCTATAGCAATGGACTTAATTTAGAATTTTGAGGCAGAATCATGAGGTGACTAATATATACAAAATAATTTTTAGCAAAAAATATACCTTTTATTAATTATTATATAAGAGGATCTCAGGATGTATCATGAACTATTTAAATTTTAATAAAAATTGCTAGAAAGTTATTCCTATTTTAACTAAATATAGATTAGTTTAATATTTATTGAATTTAAAATATAACTAACTATTAATGAGATGTTTGTTTTAAGGCTTCGTTTCTAATTCTGAATCATGGTTCTTGGTTCTTTATAGTGTTTTTCTCTCACAAAAAATTTGAATTTCAAATATCAGAATAATGAATCATGGTTCGTAATCCATGAACCAAACATCCCATAAATTTATTAGTTATTGTGAAAGATATTGTCTAAAATAGTTAATCCTTTAACTAATGGTTGGAGTTGAGAAACGTCAGAAAAAAACTAAATTATTAACCATTTTGACTAAAACTATGAAATAGCTGGTATGGTTGGAATTGCTTTAAAGAAGATGAAACTCTCCTTTCATTATTCAAAAACTTTAAGCTCCTGTTTGTTTCATAGTTTAGTTCAGTTCAACTCAATTTGAACAGTGAGCACAGTTTGAACTGATATTTGGTAATCATGCAGTTTGAATTACATTTTCCGTTTAAACTGAGTTAAACGGCTCAACTTAGAGTTCAGCTCTCCCTCAAGTTTAGTCGTTTAAAGCATTTTTGAACAGTAAAAGGTGTCTACTTTCTCTGTTTTTCACACTTATAAAACACAAATTTGAATTTTATTCTATGCTCAAATTAAAACCTTAACTACACATCCAAACGTCCATTCAAACTACAATTTAAACTACACAGTTTGAATTTTTTTGTTCAAATTAAAAAGTTCAAGCCAACGAAATTCAAACTAGTAAACCAAATGAGGGCTAAGTTATTTTGTCCTAAATTTTTTTTTAAATTAACACTCACACTCTCTCTTGGTTTTTGTGTCCCACTTTTCTTAAAACCCATTTATTATTTCTTCCCTTCACTCTCTCACTCATATATACATACTAGATTTTTAACGTGCTCCGCAGTATTGTTGTGTTAGATACATCAGAAGAATTAATTATTTACCGAATAACGAGAAATTCATTTATATAACCATTTAAGAATTTTTTTTTTTTTGAATTTATTTTAAAAAGGAATGTGTAAAGATAGCTTTTAATAGGATAGGAAATACATTAAAAACAAGTAAGGACACATTTGATGAAAATTATTTTAACCATTGATAAAAAAATAAAATAGAAACACATACAAAAAATTACTTTCGTAAGAGTAACGTGAGAAAAAAAATCTGTTTTTAAAAAATACACAAAATTTAAAATGTAATAAGAACATTCAGAAAAATAAAAAACAATTTAAAAATAAAAAAGTATAGATAAAAAAATGTATTAAAAAGGGCATGAAAAATAGATAAATAGAGGTACTCCCACGCAACAGTCTCACGAAAAGGAGTTTTGACTCTTTTATATTTGTTATATTATAAATATTATATTAGATTAGATAGAAAATACTCTTTTTATTATACCCATATCTAATATTTAGAAACTGACTCTAATAATAAAAAAGTCTTAGGCTCCGTTCACTTCGCTGATTCGAGTTTAGAATTTGAGTTTTTCTACAGTAAAAAGCTCTCACAAACAATCACATCTAACCTTTTTGCTACAGTAAAAAACTCTCACATAAAATCACATCTCAACTCAAATTCTAAACTCAAATCAGCGAAGTGAACGGGCATTTACTAAAGAAGTCTTAAAAAAAGAAAAACACAAAAAGAATGTCAAATAAAAATTGAAAAAAATAAGAAAAAAGAATTAAAAGAGCATTTTTTTAATTTTGATTATATTTAATGGTTAGAAACTGACAATAATAATAATAATAATAATAATAATAATAATAATAAAGTAATCATACAAGAAAAAATCTTTAAAAAAAATAAAAAAGTAGGTCAAATAAAGATGAAAAAATGAAAAAATGAAAAAGAAAGAGTAATGAAAAGAGCCTTAAGAATATAGAAATTACAGTGCCAGGGAACTGCTGTTTCCTGGTTTTGTAATGACTTTCACGGGCTATTATGCTGATGATTGCGAGGACTATATAATGACGCGACAATAGACTTATGACTTTCAATTTCTAGTAGTTTGATGCAACTTTGATGTTATTATATTCACTGCCATCCCACTTGCCCTATGTGCATAAGTTGATAACTGTTGTGTTATTTACCACGAGTGTTTTAGGTCTCATTTATTTTACCGATTTGAATTTTTAGTTATAAATTTTTACAGTAAAAAGTTCTCAGAAAATATCACATCTAACTTTTTCTGCTACAATTAAAAACTCTCAGAAAATGTCAAATCTCAACTTAAATTGAAAACTCGAATCCACAAAGTGAACGAGTCCTTACTTTTCCCTTTTCATTTAAATTGTTTTTTTCTTTTTGGGAGAAATTCAGGTTTGTTCGTCACGATATAAATATCTCTTAACTTAAAAAAAAGATCTCTTAATTAATTAGCTAATTAAAAGAACAGAGAGAGAATTAAAAAAAAAATGGTAACCGTATCGAATTAGGGTGACCCATCCGATTTTTTAACCCGCTGTGAAGGTGGGGCAGGGCCGGGTCGCAAAAACATGCCCCGCCCCATGTACATCCATATTTACAAATGCAAGGTTTGCGATGTTGGTCCTAGCTAGTTTTCTAATGCCTACATCATTAGTTAATGCGAATCTTCGGGGTTGTTCTTTTGGAGTGTGACTTAAGTGTAGTTTTTGAGTTGAATTTGAGTTATAACTTGAGTTAAAATTGTAACTTAAATAAAGTTGAGTAAAGTTGAATAAAATTAGAACTTAAAAGAACATAAACTTAAATAAAATTGTAACTTGAGTTTAAATTTTTTTTAAATTTTATTACAAAAGAACAACTCCTTCATCACTGGCACTTATTCAAAGATGCGGAGACTATCAGGACGTGGAATTGGGCTTCCAAATGCCTAAACCACCTGCTGGATGGAATATCTAATTACCAAAATATTAAAATATATGGCTTTCAGGATGCTCAATACTCTTGCAGCTTGTTTATATTGATATGTCGGACACTGTCCACACTCGGCCACTAAGGTTGGCTCCACTAGAATTTTAGAATGAAAACAACCTAGCAACGGTCAATAGATGGATAAATAACAGTCACCGATTGTCAAAAAACGATCGCAGGTTATCAAAAAATTATCTCCAATCGTTCGAGCCGGCCGCCGATTGTCGGTCGCTGGTTCCGATCATAGTGGACTTGACTATAATCTATCTATTTTAAAAAAATATTATAATTTACTATTTTTAAAAAAATAGATGCTTAGGAGGAGAAGTGAGATAAAAAATCAGGTTTAGGGATATTTTTAGACTTTTAATAGTGTTTAAAACTTAGATCTCATTCATTTCACCGATTCGAGTTTTCAGTTCTAGGTTTCTACAGTTAAAAGCTCTCATAAAATGTAACATCTAACTTTTTCTGCTATAGTGAAAAACTTTCAAAAAATGTCATATCTCAGCTCGAATCCACGAAATGAACGAGGTCTTAAAATATCAAATTTTAGTATAATTTACTATTTTTTAAAAAAATGCTATAATTCACTAGTTACGAAATATAATGTAAAGTTCAATTAATACTGAACTCATTATACGACGCCGTTGTCCAAATTAGCTGCCTAAACTTTTTTTGTTTTGTTTTTTGGAATAGATGCCTAAACTTTTTATTTTATGGTAATTTGCCCAAACAGCCGTGGTATTGTTGGGTCAACGACGGAAATAAATTGAAAAAGAAAGGAAAACAAAAAAAAACAAAAACAAAAAAAAAACAAAAAACAAAAAACAAAAAAAAAAAAACAAAAAAAAAAACATCACAGAGCCCTCAACAGCAAAATACCACTCATTTCTAAAACACCAATTCAGATTCTAAATTAAAAAACCCACGCAACCCTAATTCCTCCATCTCCTTTTCTTTCTCTTTCTCACTACACAGCGTCTCTTTCTCTCTCCTCCACAACGCCGCCGCGAGATCCCCGTCTCCTCCTCGAGGTAATCGTCGTTTTTCTTATGGAGTCTTTTACTTGAAGGGGATTTCAATTTGACACCGTGAGTGGATTTTGTTGTTAGGATTTCAAGTCAGCCATGGCTGGTGGAGAGGCAAAAAAGCCTAATGCCGGTGGATTTCTTTCGCCATTTTTACTTTTTTTTTGTGTTGTAGAACTTTTTATGCATATATATATATAATTTGCTGAATTCTCGAATTTGCATTTCCTTGTATGGAATTTGGTCGTCTAGGGGGGAAGAAGAAGGAGGTTAAGAAAGAAACTGGATTGGGACTTACCAACAAGAAAGATGAGAACTTTGGAGAATGGTACTCTGAGGTATGTCTTCACATTATATTTATTGAAAATTTCGTATTGATCCCTAAGATCTTTCCCCATTTTATACTCGTCCCCAAACTATTAGCTCTACTTTTTTCTACTGCTTTATTGTTCTTCTCGTGGGTCCAATGTGTAAAGAAAAATTGTAGTTTGTTCAAAAATACTCATTCTTGTCTCATTTGGAGAACATCTGATTCAGGAAGGGGAGTATCATAATCTCCGGTGGAATGCTAGATGGCCTTACTTAGCCTAAATGATATTTTCGTCATTATTTTCTAATATTCAGTTTATACTTTAATTTAACATTATGGGATGTGTGCAAAAATACTTTTTTTTAAGCATACTTTTAGTAAATGTTCTTCGTTTTGTCAAATTTATAAAAAAAAAAGCCACTTTTTTTTTAAATAAAAAAAAACTTGAAAATCAATAATGTATGTGATTGAAAATTGATAATACGTTGGTAAACCGATGATTAATTAATCAATAATTTGCCAAGATCAATCAATAATTTGTAGAACATTGATCAGGAACCAAGAATTTATGAAAGTGAAGTTTTTTAAAAAAAGTTTATGTTGTTAATTTAGCAAAACTGATTACATCTACTTGAAGAAGACTTCGAAAAGGGCCATCCACCCCAATCTCCATGGTTGAACTCATTTAGGATTCAAAAGTTTACATATATCTTATTTAAGCTGATTTTGTTTTTTAAATTATGGTGTGTAGGTAGTTGTCAATGGAGAAATGATCGAGTACTATGATATTTCTGGCTGTTATATTCTCAGGCCCTGGACGATGTCAATCTGGGAGACCATGCAAGTGAGTTTGAAATCTTTAAACTCATTTTGTTAATTATTATGTATAGAGTTAATGCTTGAGATTCCATCCCTCCCCTCTCTTCTTTTCCATGCAAAATTGATTGTTGTGTGGACATGTATGATGTTTTGATTCGTTTAAAACCTATCGAATCCGTTTTATTGAATATTTCATCTGCTATACATCTTATTAATCTTAATGTTATGAAAGTTTTTGATTATAAGTGAATATGATGTCAATGTGCAGGAGTTTTTTGATGCCGAGATAAAGAAAATGAAAGTAAAGAACTGCTACTTTCCTCTTTTCGTATCTTCTACTGTCTTAGAGAAGGAGAAGGATCACATAGAAGGTTTTGCACCAGAGGTGAGTTTTGGAAACAATGCCACAATACGGATTTTTTTCCCCTAATTCTTCTCTCTCTCTCTGCGCTTTTGTTCTTCATTTTCCTTTTCCTGACTTGAGGTAAGGATGCTATTATTATGATTCTTCTATATGATCCATTGCTTTCTATTAAAATCAGTTTAAGTCATTTGATTATGCATAATCACTAGTGAGCTACATCTTCACTAACCGTTGGTCCACAACATGAAATTGGGAAATTGGTTCTTTATGAGTGTCTTCTTTCTTTTCCCAGTATTTTTTTGTGCATCTTGCAACAATACAAATAGGATTTAGTAAATTGCCTCCTTGAGTTTAACTAACTCTGAATATTGGGCATCTTTGCTGGAAAAATTACCCAAGTTTTATGTTTTAACTAAGCTTATGTAGTGCTAAACGTAGTTCTGTTTGGTCACAATATCTTGTTGCCGATGATCTTTTCAAACAACAAATTTATACAACCTTCTGGTTTATTAATCATATCGTATCTTGGGTTTCCTCAGGTTGCTTGGGTTACTAGATCTGGAAAATCTGAATTAGAGGTACCTGTAGCAATTCGTCCTACTAGTGAGACTGTAATGTATCCCTATTACTCAAAATGGATTAGGGGACACCGGGACCTTCCCTTGAGACTTAACCAGTGGTGTAATGTTGTTCGGTGGGAATTCAGCAATCCCACTCCATTTATCAGGTTAATTTCGGCTATACTTCTTTATTCACTCATTTATTGATTTTAACCATGACCGTGTTGATTGCGTTTAGGTTCCTAGAGCCCTATGATTGTGAAAATGAATATCCCAAAGCATGGTATTCCTAAATATTTTACATTTATATGTAAACTTCCATAAAACTGGAACAGAAAAATTTTTGTGGATAGTAGATCAGAAACTCTATGTATCCTGCGCTACCTGTAAATAAAAACAATCTAGTGCTAAAATATCTATTTTTTTTAGGAGTCGGGAGTTTCTTTGGCAGGAAGGGCATACTGCCTTTGCAACGAAGGATGAAGCAGATGAAGAGGTACGACACTCTCAACTGTCGCCAACATTTTTTTTTTATTCCAAGCTCTTTAAATCTAAATAACTTCAATGCCATTCCATTCATGAGTTTTTTGTGACCTAGTGGTCTTGTTCCTCACTGTTTAGTTGCATCACTTAATGACATTACTATTGACTTCATGACATAAGCCTTTTGTATACATTTATGAATTTATGATGTTTCACGTTTTTTTGCCATCTATAAAGGTCTGTATTTTCTCACTAAACTGAAGATGCAAGAAAGGAAGGTACTATTGCATCTAGAATCTACATCCCTTATGTTTTGACAGAATGAAAGAGATGCCCCCTTTGACTAAAGCAGTTTATGTTAAGAGCCCCTTGATTGAAACTATTTAAGGCACAATATTTTTCTTTTCCTAATCCCCTCTGTTTTGCTGGAACATAGATCAAAACTGTTCACGTCAGCTACCTCTTGACAAAGCTTTTTTACTGTGATTTTTTAAATGCGAAAAAGTTTCTCCCTAAAACTTTATTAGACCAACTCATCTTCTCGAAGCCACCAAATATTGGCATACCCCTGTAGAGTATATTTGCATATTTGAATTGTTGGGTGATTTCATTAAACAACCTTCTCAATTTTAGACTTGTGGCAAAAAGGCACGTATAGTTCGGCCTCTGCTTAGTCTAGAATGCAGAACTTCCTGGCATATATACTGAATTTGAGCTGCTTTCGTATTCAATCATTTCTGGCACGTCTTGATGGCCTGCAAAACATCATTTTCATTTCATTCGGTATTCCACTGTCAGTTTTATTTGTCCATTTTTCTTTCTTTTGTGTTAATGTTTGCAAAAACTACGCAGATAAAAAATGAAATGTTCACCTTGTCCATTCTCTCTGATTTTATTTCTTGGTTGAAAGGATTTGACTGTTTATTAACTTTCCCGTGTAATCATTTTTCAGAGGATAATTTTCCATTCGTTCACTTTATAGCTTTTTTTCTATAATTTCTTTTTCCTTGTCATTAATAATAGTAATGATAATAGTAGTAATAGCTGCGCAATAGTAATAATAGTAATAGTAGTAACAGCAATAGCAATGGCAAGTAGTAGTAGTAGTAGTACTAAATAATGATAATAAAAACGTAACAAAACACTAGAACTAAATAACCATGGTAACAATAAAAATTGTAATAATTTCTCTGTTTATGATTGTGTCTACATAACATTATATGTCTGCTTTTGTTAACAACAGCAGTAAAATAATACGTATAAATAAATTAACCATAGTAATAATTGCATTTGTTGTGATGGTTTTCCGTTTTTCTTCCTATATGTTATTCAACTAAGCAAAAAAAAAATAAAAGTAATAAATAATAATAATGCAAATAATAACAACAATCATAAATTCAATGGTTGCTTTGCTTGTGATGTTTATGATTGTTGTCTGTTTTGTATTATGTGATGGTTTTCCTGTAGATTAGGTGTGTTTTGGTTTTACTAGTGGTGTCAGTGTAACACGTCATGTTTCAGGTGCTTCAAATTTTGGAATTGTACAGACGTATCTATGAAGAATTTTTGGCTATTCCTGTTATAAAGGGTAAGAAAAGTGAGTTGGAGAAATTTGCTGGTGGACTTTACACCACTAGTGTTGAGGTACGTGCGCGCGTTGAAACCAAATTGGTTTCTACATTTGAAAAATTGAGATATATTACAGAATTTCCGTATTTATCCATACCCATATGCAGGCATATATTCCAAATACCGGTCGCGGTGTACAAGGTGCAACTTCGCATTGCCTAGGTCAAAATTTTGCAAAAATGTTTGAGATAAGCTTTGAAAATGAGAAGGGGGAGAAGGCTATGGTTTGGCAGAACTCATGGGCCTATAGCACTCGGACGGTATACTTTCCTTATTTTTGTGAGCAGAATGGTTGCGATTAAAAAAAAGTTTGATGCTCTGCTCATTAAAATATTGAAAACTGACAGTTATTTTATGCAACCTTTTGGTTTCCAAATATGTTAAGATCGGGGTTATGGTGATGGTTCATGGGGATGACAAAGGCTTGGTGCTGCCACCTAAAGTTGCATCTGTCCAAGTTATTGTAGTTCCGGTTCCATATAAAGATGCTAATACTCAAGGTATATTCGATGCCTGCACTGAAACTGTGAATACCTTGAGCGAAGCAGGTATACGTGCAGAGGCTGACTTCAGAGACAACTATTCACCTGGTTGGAAGTACTCGCATTGGGAAATGAAAGGCGTTCCTCTAAGGATTGAGATAGGTCCAAAGGACTTGGCGAACAACCAGGTCAACTAGTGTTTTTGCTACCTTTTTCTGAAATTTTTTATTGCAGTTGTTTTATCAATTTCTTTTCTCCTATGGAAGTTTTTTCCAATATTTTTCTACGTATACTAAATGTGCTAGAACAATTCTTTTATTGTATTTCAAATACAGGTGCGTGCTGTTCGCCGTGACAATTCAGCGAAAGTAGATATTCCTAGGGCAAGCTTGGTTGAGCAAGTAAAAGAACTTCTGGGCAACATTCAACAGAACCTGTTTGATGTTGCGAAACAAAAACGGGATGCATGCGTTGAGATTGTTAAGACTTGGGAAGAATTCATCGCAGCACTCGGAAAGAAGAAATTGATCTTAGCTCCTTGGTGTGATGAGGAGGTAATATATAACTCCTGTAGTTCAGTAGTCTCGTAAGGTCTTCATCTCTATGCGTTGAGATTGCAAAGACGTTTATAGTTTTGTCTCCCTAAAGAGGTTTTTGTGCTGATCACTCTCCAGGAAGTGGAGAAAGATGTGAAAGCAAGGACAAAGGGTGAGATGGGAGCAGCTAAAACTCTATGTTCTCCATTTGACCAGCCAGAGCTTCCTGAAGGTAAATCATCAATCTTTATTACATAAATAACGTCAGCATTTTAGCTTACCTGCCACCTAAAAGATTTAATTGATTAAAAATAATCTATTTTACATGTGTAATTTCAGCTAGGTTATATTTTGTAGCCTGTGAAATTTTTGAAGTTGGAAGTGTGAGAAACTGTGCACAATAACTGGTTGTAGAGACTGGCAAATGAAATTGTGATTTCCTTGTAGTTGAACCGGTTCCATTGTAACATTAACTGACTATTATCTTAACCTTATCTAAAGGAGTAATGGCAAGGAAAATGAGTAGGAGAAAAGCACAGTTTGAGGTCGAACTTTTGAATTATACTTCTCAGTTCACTTTCTGATACATTCTGTATTTTCGAATATTCCTTTTCTTCAAGTTCAAGTTTTCCTTATAAACGCTAAAATACTAAAGCGATTTTCATATACTTCTTTTTTTTTTTTTTTTTTTTTTTTTTTTTTTCATTTTAAATTTCCTTAGCATATAATAGGTGTATTTTTAGGTCCCAACTCAAATGAGATGTACAAAAAGTTATATTTCGTTGGACATCACAAGTGATAAGGAAAAAACTGTTTTTCATTCTATTTTCCTTGTGACTTTTTGGGTGTGGAATATTCCTCAAATCGTTCGAAAGATAATTTAAAAAAAAATAAATTAGAGGGCACTAGTGGTGTTGAGCACTGTAGCTTAATGAAAATTGAATCTTATAACATGAGGCTCAATGATGGGGACCACTTTTTATTAGTTGTAGTACTTAAGCACCTGTAGCGTCTCAAGCTTTAATGGTAAAAGAAATTTTTGTAGAATTGACCCCATAAAAATTTAACATGAAATCAATAATTGCCTCCTGTATTAAGTATTGCGCTTTTTGTTTTCAATTTGTTTAAGTTAATCTATTCATATAAAGGGACAATTATGATTAAGAGGTCAATAACAGGGGGCAGTTATGAGTCTCCATTGAATTCTCATTGTCCTAATGGCTACTGATTTTGCAGTTAAGTTACATGTTGACATTAAGTACTTTCGTTTGTAGGTACTCTGTGCTTTGCCTCGGGAAAGGCTGCAAAGAAGTGGACCTATTGGGGCAGGAGCTACTAGTTGCCAAATTTTGTTACCGTTTGCTCCACAGTTTTCTGTTCCCGAACTTCTTGTAGGGACAACACCGAAGTGTTTTTCTTGGAAAAACGAATAAATCATACTAGAGGACTGAGATGTGCCAAATCCCACTTATCTTTTTCACTCAACTCTCTAATTCCTATTTCGTTTCCGTTTGTTGCCATACAATTTTTTTTTTGGGTAGTACATTTGTTGCGTTTCTTATAACCGCAGCCACTTTACAAAATAACATTGATTCATAGTAATTTGTTAGAATCTTTTAGAGCACGTTTAGTGTAAGGGTTTTAGAACTTAGAATCATGATTTTGGTTTAAATTAGTATTTGTTTATAAAAAGTAAAAAGTGGTTTTGATTTGACTCACTCAGAATCAGTGCTTAGTTTGAATGGTTCTGATTTAAGATTTGAACTCTTATGTGATATTTTAAATTAGAATCACTCTTGATTTTAAAACTACCTCCCCTTTGATTTTGGATGGTTCAAACCTTGATTTTGGTTCTTGTTTCAAAACCATGATTTGGACATATAATCATAAATTATGGTTCTAAATTTAAAATTAAAATTAGAATCCTACTGATTTAAATTTTCATACTAAATAAAGCCTTATTTGCCGTTGGATTGGATTATGAGCCCTCTTGAATATTGTTATATGTCCATTTTCAATTACTATTAGAATACAAATCCTTTCCCCTCGAAAGAAAAAGACCTTGAAAATTGAGCCGTTGGATTGGATTATGAGCCCTCTTGAATATTGTTATATGTCCATTTTCAATTACTATTAGAATACAAATCCTTTCCCCTCCAAAGAAAAAGACCTTGAAAATTCAAGATTCTTAGGGGTTGTTCTTTTGTAATAAAACTCAAAAAAAGTTTAAACTTAAGTTACAACTTTATTCAAGTTCACGTTCTTTTAAGTTCTAATTTTATTCAACTTTACTCAACTTTATTCAAGTTACAACTTTAACTCAAGTTATAACTCAAATTTAACTCAAAAATTATACTCAAGTTATACTCAAATTACACTTCAAAAGAACAATAACTTCCTTTGTTCATATGGTTAAAGCATAATGTTTTCAATTACGACTAGACGACGATTTTTAAAAGGCCATTGGATTAAAAGAATGAATGGTTAAGATTGGTGTGTGCGTCCCACGCGCAGACAGTGTTGTGTTTCATTTCAGGCGCTTCAGCTTTTCGTGTCAGGTGGGCAGCCACTAACTTGTACCCACCAATCAACGCATGACACATGGCCTACCTTCCACCGCGTGTGATCCCGTGCGTCGTGCGCCGGTTGAGCTTCTTTTCTCATCCAATAACACGTTGATACATAGCAATCTACATCAGGAAATATATTGTGAGCCGCCACGTGGACTCTACTAGGAAGCTAACAAATTAGTGATTGACACATGGCAATTGCAAAGAAGAATAATACACTGAATCTTTTCCTTAACATCAAGAAAAATAGGTGAATTTTAGGGGGAGAAACGGATGAAACTTTTCTTCCCCATTTTACTGGTGATAAGTTGGCTAATCAGTTGAAACTTTAAAATAATAATATTTTTTAATTAATCCTACAAAACATTTTCAATTACTAATTGGTAAACTTGTCTTTTATTAGAGAAATTTCAACAATCAACGTTGTCAGGTTATTTTATGATTAAAAGTATATTTTTACGAGTTCTAAGTTTAATAATTATGACCATAGTAAATATATTATTTGAAATGGCATCGGAATTGACTTCCCTCCCTCCGAGATCCGAGAGGAGTATAGAGTTTATCTAAGGACTCCTTTTTTAACAAGTTCTAAAGTTTAATATTTATGACAAGAATAAATATATTATTTGAAATAATATTATGTTTTAAATTTAGAGCACAAAATAGAATAACATAATAAATATAATATTTTCATTCTTTTTGGTGCGAGAAATAACAATGATCTATATTGACAAAGGTTAAAATGTGGCATATGGCGTAATGAACACTAATAATACATAAGTTTGAATTATGTTAATTAAGTAGTCCATTCTATCGTAATCAAAAAATTAGTCAAATTAATTAAGAAAGTGGCATATACATATTATAGTTTCTTAATTATTTTATCCTTGATTACTTTTAGGTTAATTGAATGGTTGTGACCCAATTCGAGTTTCTTGTGATATGGAACATATTCGAATATTGCACTCAATTGTAGCTATCATGATATAAATTACAAGAATTGTTGTTCAAACACTACACATGCGCATATAATGGCAAAAGCACATAAACTCCTTTATGTTTTGACTATCATCGCAATCCTCTTTGCCTTCTTCGAACAATCAGGTCACTTATATTTTATGTGCAAAACTTTTAATTTCTACTTGAAATGTACCGTCGTTTGAACACACACACACACACGCATATATATCGTATATGTTCTCCTTCTCTCTCTCCAATTTGTACTCAGATCTCCTATTCATGGATTTTTTAATCAGTAATTCATGTTTAAAACACCACAAAGTGGCACATTATTAGAGTTGTGTTGTTTTGCATAGAAAAATTTAGGATATGTTTACGTTGTTGGTTTTTTTTTTTTTTTTTGAAAAGGATATGTTTACAGTTTTGAACAAGCAAATAAAGGAAAGGTTTTTTTTTTCTTAAAAACAATTATTGGAGTTAAATGAAGATTTAGGTATTTTCCTTTTTTAAATTGTTTAATCATATAATCAAATCTTAAACATAGTTATTATTGCATTGAAATCATAAATTTAAAGGGTTCAGTGTTGTTAGTCTCTGAGCTATTAGTATTGTAATAATTTGATTCCTAAACTTTTTTCTTTATCCATTAGTCTTTAATCTTGCTTTTGGTCTTTGAACATCAAACTAAAAATGGATTTTTAAGATTTAATGGTATTAATCACCCACTCTTCGGCTGATCGCTTGAGCTTTTACGAAATCGTTACATAAGGTTCAAAATGTTAAATTTTACTCTTGAAAATTATAATATTTTATGCATCAAATAACTATTTTTATAAAATTTGAAGTTTTTACGTGACGAACATGTGATTATATCTCTTACGTTTCAAATTAAATCTTATGAGTTCTGGTTTAAAAATATTATTTAGAAGCTAATCGACTAAAACAAGTTAAATGATGAAACTATCACTTCTTTAAAAGTTCAATCAAAGACTATTAGTCCCAAAAATCCTAAATCAAAATTTTCTATTATATTTTTGCTTGTCTTTTGAATGTGAACTATTTAGTAATGGATATGAATTCCGAATCTCCAATTGTAAATTAGGTTCTTTATATCTTAAAAACCAAAAAGTATGTCTATTTGTAGAAACATTAAAATATTCTTTCTATTTTAATTCATTAATACCTAGAAAATATTTGCCCCAAGACCCCTGCCAACAAGAAACCCCATGTCTATAGTTTCGACTCTCCATGTATATCCAATGCTCAATCAGGTAGTTAAAAAATAATAATAATAAAATCCTCAATTGAATTTGTTCATTTCACTGGCTTAAGTTTGAGAATTTGAGTTGAAAAATAAATTTAATGTGAAAGACAATAATATAGTAAAAATCTTAAGCTGTAATTTAAATTAAAGTAAAACGAAAGAAAAGGAAAAGGACTTAAATCTATCTGCTTTAGATATCAATTATCAATTATTACGTACACTAGTGATTAATCTAAACCTTGTTTTGTTGTGGATGGTAGAACCAATCAAAAGGAAAAGAAACATATACATTGCATTGGGATGCGATGTCAAGATAATGTAACTTGTGCCGAGAGACGCAAAGACATTTATCCATCATCTCCAGGGGGTTTTTGTCAAAAAGTCCCCGGTAATCTTTGGGGCGTATGTTTTTGCAACATTAAGTAAACTAGTTTAAACTGCGTCCGTAGATTTTTTTTTCTTTTTTGAAAGGGGTATGAAGAAAAATTTAATACCGTTATCTATATCTGACTTATAAACCATATTAAATTTGTTTTAAAGATAATATTGTCATATATGGTTACTCCATTGTTTACTTATCGATGGGTATTATTATTTTAATTGTAAGATATTAATCCAACAGTTATAATAAATTGAAAGATTGATCAAAAAAATTATGATAATTAATAAAATTAAATTCTTATCACATCATGTCATCAAATTTTTATATTTAATGATAACCACTGATAGAAATGTAACCATTAAAAACTTATCATTTTATATATTTTTTAATTACCGAAACATTTTCTTTAACTTTAATAAATAAATTTTTTAGGGTGATAAATATTTTTTTTCATATGTAACTCATAAAATATTCTTTTTATGGTAATTATATTTCAAAATGTAGAATTACAAATGCTAATGCTAATACAAATGACCTCGCAATACAAGCTTAATTTAACCCTGACTATTGACCGGTTCTAACACTTATCATGAAAACAGTAAAAAGGAAAACATGCACTGAGCTCCTACAACGAGAGGCTGGGACGAGGAACAAGCACACATATGACTCTTTGAAAACACACCTCTATAATCGATGGACAACTCCGATCAATCGAATCTAAGATACTTGTAGACCAAATGTCACCCAGCACACCGCTGAATACGTATGAGCATCAAGCAGAACGGGGTCGAGTATTGCTTCCCCTACCTCTGCCCCTACTTTCACTTTTGCCCCCATACCGCCGGCATACCCTCATATTCAGAGTCGGGGTCGGAGAATTCCCATCGGGGAGGCTTTCCTTATACCTTACTCATTTACCCAATAAAAAAAAGTATTGAGATATTATTAACACTTAAATAAATTGTATCATATTAAATATAAAATTGATCAACATAACATTAATATCTCATGAAAGGAAACTAATGTTTTAAAAGAAAATCTAAATTCTAAAAATAACAAATCAAATCTCAAAATCAAATTCAACTCAAGATCTAAATGGTAAATTAAGGTCTTCAAAGTAAAACATTAAAAACTATAAGAACATTATTGTTCTAGTTTGTTTACCTCTTCCATGTCAACTTCATTGCTTGCTTATTCTTATTAGGGGTTGTTAAGATAGAAAAATAGTAAAATACTTTTAACTTTTTTAAATCCATATTTTTTAAGTACTATTATAATAATATATATTTGTATCAAAAATATTTTTAAAAATATATGTATATGTATATCGGGGCGGGGGCGGGGTGGGAGTTACTTGCCTTGCCTCCACCCCACTTCCGATTTGG